ACCATAGTACATATATACACTACCAAAAGTAATTCATTGCATAGTCAATAAATAGTTTGTAGTTTATTTTTATCAAAATAGTTAGCTGTATACCATCGTTTAAAAAACTTATACAGAAGTAAAACACTTCACATTTGTATGTAGGTATAAAACATTTAATTGAAAGGTTTTTTAAAACTTGTCGTCCAAAATTTATACTGGTACATAACGTGACGTTTTAGATCTAGTTCAGATCATCCTTAGAGCCTACTTTTGCAATTAAAGCTAGCACCAAAATAGTAGCTGTAACATTAATACATGGTTTTACATGTTTCAAAATTCAAATTCTAATGTGGCCCTAGGTCAATGACATTGACCACGTGTTCAAGTTGAGCAAAGAAACATGTTGCTCTTTAAGTATTGAAATCTCTATCTAACGTCATCGATCTAGGGCCATATTAGAATTTAAATTTTGAAACATGTAAAACCATGTATTATTGTTACAGCTACTATTTTGGTGCTAGCTTTAATTGCAAAAGTAGGAGGCTCTGAGGATGATCTGAACTAGATTTAAAACGTCACGTTATGTACCTGTATTAATCTTGGATGACACTTTTAAAAAAGTTTTAAAAAAGCTTTAAATTAAATGTTTTATACCTACATACATATTTGAAGTGTTTAACTTCTGTATACATTTATTTTTGTCAAAACATCTAATTTTATTCATATATTTGGTTATTTTATTTTGTTCTATAGTTTATTTTTATGAACGAGAGAGTAATTAGCATAATTTTAACTGGTATCTCCGACCACTCCATGGGCGTGCTCAAGATTAATTGAAAAATTACTTTGAATAATTGTAAAAAATAAATAAATTATTTCAGTGTTACAAAGTGTTATGTGTATGTAAACAAAAGTGACCTCTTTTATCACACACTATATTAGAACTGACTGGCCTACATTAAAAAGGGTTTTAAAAAATTCACATTTTTTTTAATTTTTAAAAATTACAAAAGAGAAAAAGAGTTTTTAAAACCGTCTAAGGTATGTTAAATAGATGAATAAAAATATTAATATAAAACTTACAGCTACTTGTTACAAATCCAAATCAGATTCAGAAGATGAACTTTCAGAACCAAGATTTATAATAACTGGCTCGATCATTTTATCAGTAATATTGGCCATCTTCCACATTTTTTCCTCTTCTTTAATAGTGTGATTTACTGCCTTTTCCCAGTTTTCAGGTTTTACATTATTTACGGCCTCCAAAAACAACTGTTTAACATCATGAATTTTAAAAGTGGTATTTTTTCTTGAAACTTCACTCTTTATCTGTGCCCATACCAGTTCAATCGGGTTTAATTCACAATGATACGGTGGGGATCTAAGTACTGTCATTCCACGATTTTTGGCAATTTCATCAATTTGTATTTTTTAAATTTTTCTTTATGAAGGGCACACAACGAATAAAGTTCCTTTCTTATAGATCCGGGATGGTACGTAATATTTTTTGAACTCAGCCAATTCTGCAAGTCTTTTTTTAACTACTTGGTTGTGGGCAGTCCTTCTATAAGTCTGGAGTGATAACTTGCATTATCCATTACTATTACACAGTTCTTCGGAAGAAGATCTATCATTTGTTCGAACCATTATTGAAAGACATCAGCGTTCATGTCTTCATGGTAGTCACCGGTACGAGTTGATTCAAAAGTTAATAAACCACCTTCAACAAAACCGTCTGAACTGCCAATGTGTACTATTATCAGCCTGCGTCCCTTTCCTGATGGTGGGTTTAAACCAGTAGATACGTTATTTACAAAAGCGTGCCTTTGACTTGTAACAGTTTCATCCTGCCAAAATTTATTTGGTGTATGACCCTCGTTGATCCATGTTTCATCAAGATAAAATATTTTTCTTTTTTGGTTTCTCATTTCCTTTATGGTTCTTAGAAAATGTCTTCTCCATATGACAATATCGCTTCTTTCTAATAAAATAGACTTTCTGGGATTCTTTTTCCAGCGGAAGCCTATTTCTTTTAAAAGTTTCCATAACGTACTTCGACTCATTTCTGGGTAATCCTTATCATCTCGAACTGAGACAAGAACTTTATCCAATGTTGGAAATTCTTGTCTAAAGAAGAATTTATGCACTTTCCGTCGAAGTCCTTCTTTAAAATGATATTCTATTTGAAATATTGGTTTCCCTTTAGCATTACGTGGCATTTGAAAACTACCACATTTCTCTTCTTGAATAACTCTGTAAATCGTAGATTTGCCAACACCAAGTGTACTGCTAACTAACTCAACGGTCTCATCAACACTTTCACATAAACGTTTGTCTGTAAGTGATTTAAAACAATTAAATATTAATGTTTTTCATTACCTGTTAAAGGACCAATTTTTCGGCGTTTACACGGCACTTCCAAATTTTCCATAACACTAGTATACACAATAAACTGCACCTTGCAACTGAAGTACCTACTTTTAGTGAACTGTTAAGAATTTTGAATACGCCACTTGGACCTTCCTACAAAATGGAAAAACCCACTATCACATTTTCTGTGCAATAAGTTTAGAAGGTAATTATCTAGTCAATTACTGTCGTAGATTCCTGGAATTAAAGAATTAAATGTTTGATTGTTGAAACCCTTACTTCGTGGAATGCACTCATTTCAGATAAAATAAAACGTTTTATTTTATCTAAAGAATTAAACTTTATTTTGCAAATAGGTAGGTACTTATTAAACTTTTATTGGTTATATATAACCAATAAAATAAACATCTTACATTTCTTGCAAATTCATTAGTACCTGTTAACCTCCATCACTCCGACACTGGCAACCTTATTTAGGGATTAGTAACCCTCACAACTATTGTATTCTATTCTGCTCCAACCTTTATACCTGGTGGTCATACTCAATTTAAAATTGTTTTCCTATATACTTCTGTAAACTTGTTGACAAATATCTGTTTTTCATTAAGTCACCCATATCAACAGTTTAGGGATTTGCATACATAATTTATTGTTTTATTACTCTCTCATACATAAAAATACACTATAGTTTTACTTTGACTATTAGATTATAATACTACATTTTCAGCACTAGTAAGTGTGGTGTGCAAATATTTATCGATCCGTTATACATTCTGCTTTTATTCACGTACAGCCTTTTTAGCTATATCGCACAGCAATTTTTGCACGTATTTCATTACATTTAAATAGCCTAGCAGGTTCTCACTACTCTATTTTTTAAATAAGATACTATTTAAAATTTGACTTTTTTATACTAGCTTAACTTATTACACAATAAATTAGTATTTCTATAACGCATACAATAAATCAACAACAGAACAAATCTTTACAGTGAGGCAGATTCTTGAAAAAAAACTTCGTGTAAACGAAGAGACTAAAAGAGTAAAAAACTGACTATCTGTAATATAGACAGAGTAAGTTTTTGGTGCGAAATCAATGTCGCACTAAAAGCTAAGTTTCAGACAAGGATTTTGGCACAAGAGAAGCACTTTATAGCTTAACTGTCTTACTTTGGCCATGCAGAGATAAACAAAAAGATGTCTTCCTATGCTTTATAGATTACCAGAAAGCGTTCGATTATGTTAATCATTCAGATTGACCTAGTAAGTAAGATTGCTCCAGGAACGTTCGATAGATGAGAATGACTTTAAAATTATAAAGAACCTTTATATGAATCAAGTGGCATCTGTGAGAGTAGGACTGGAATCTACATCATATCCACCTCTTCTTTTTAATCTTTACTCTAAAGCGATTTTCAATAGAGCCGTAAATGACACTGAAGATGGAATCAAAATCAACGGGCAGACTATTAGTAATCTTCGTTATGCTGATGATACAATCATAATAGCTGATAGCCAAGAAGCGCTACAAAGACTAATAGATAGAACTACCACTGAAGGAGAACGACTGGGCTTGAAGATTAATATAGACAAGACCAAAGTAATGGTGGTTAGTAAACCACAAAATATGCAATTAAATATAAGAGTAAACAATAAGGACATCCAAAAGGTCCCCAAGTTCAGATATCTCGATAGTTGGATAACTGAAGATCAAGATCCAGACATAGAGATGCGTAGCAGGATTGAGCAAGCCATAACAGCATTTACTAATATGAGAACCAACGTAATGGACCGATTGGAGGCCTTTGAAATGTAGGTATTTAGAAGACTACTTAAAATTCACTGGACAGACACACAACAAATGTCGAAGTATTAAATCGAATGAGCAGAGAACGAGAATTGCTGCCAATAATAAAAAGAAGAAAAACAGCTTATCTGGGTCATATATTTTGAAATTCCAAGTACCAGTTCTTAAAGCTTATTTTGGAAGGAAAGATAGAAGGAAAACGGGGCATCGGAAGAAAGAAATACTCATGGCTTAAAAGCATAAGGGATTGGACAAACCTCGATGCCCATGCACTTTTTAGAGCCACACAAGTTCGAGAGGAGTATGCTAGAATTGTCGCCAACCTCCACTAATTGGATAGGGCACCATAAAAAGAAGATGGTTGAGATGAAAAGGTAATACCCCAGTTTTCGCAGCACTTGGTTGGAATCTCCATTTCTTAAAGCATTCGCTGATGATGGATAGATCATTCTTGAGAGTGTTAGTTTCTAAAGATTCTAATAAATGGATATTGGAGTTTAAGTAACATTGACTTACAAGATATTAGGTTTTTTTATTATTAGGACCGGAACAAACCATTTTTTTTTTTTTTGTTTGCTCCGGTCTTTTTTCTATTATTTTATCGGTATATCGTAAATTCCATATGGATTTTGTTCTTCTAATGGTAAATAACATAATAAAGTCTCGAGAGCTGTGTCTCGGAAATAAAAATTTATGTTTTGTCTAAATATACTTATTTTGAATTGCAATAATAGACATACTAAGTTCAGCTTTTGTAAATTAATGGTAAATATTTCATGTAGAATAGTGAGAACCAAATACAACTTTGTAACTACTACAAAATTATTATTATTCTGTTTTAGGTAACCAAAGACAAACGGGATACCAGCAATATGGAGGATATACACAGACCTCCAAACCAAGTTCAGGGACTTCCATATCAGACAAAATCACTAACGGCCTTAAATCCATAGGTAGTGATATTTTACAAAAAGCTTTGTCTAAAGCTATATCCGGTCATTAACAATGGCTTTAGCTTAATAACTAATTCTAAATTTTATATTTTGTAGATATTTATATGTGGGGGAAATAGATTCAAAACTCATATAATCCAAATAGTTTTTATAATATATAACACGGTTTTAAAATGTTTTACACTGTTATTTGATACCCAATCTTCACTGATTCCTATCAATCTAGTGGTCAACTTCTTAAAATCCTTCTATACGAGGGCGGTCCGATAAGTACGTAGAAGTTTCTCCGGCAAATAGATGTAGGTCACTTCCTGTGAATAACAGAAAACGGTAGGCATCACCTTTCCGGCCCATATTGAATTCTTCAAAGCTCGTTTTCTGGGTGGAGTCCATGTGTTTCGATTGTTTTTTGGTCCCTCGTGTATGCAAATGGATCCATGTTTCGCGGTTGCGCTTCTTGTTTAGAGAAAGCAAATGCGGCACCCATCCCCATCACGCCGACAGCTTTTCATATCCAAAATTTAATTCAGGATGTGATCCACGCAATCTTTTGAGATACCTATTAATTGTCTACGAGATCATGGATTTTTGTTACATTATCCTCCGTGGTAGTCGTTTTTGAGGTACTTGAGCGTGGTTCATCAAAAACCGACGTGCGACTACGGTGAACCTATTTAAACCGACGTGCGAATCGTCATTAAAAAGATGGCGTACAATAAGGATGATCACGATAGCGAAAGCGAGAAAACTTAGTTGCAAAACTAAGAAAATAAGCACAATAATATGTGCAAAGTATGGAAAAGCATTCTATAAATCATGCACGGCACGGGATTGGGCCGGAAAACTCCAAATTTTAGATAAAATTTGTTAAATGAACTAATTTGTTAGTTAAGAAGTAAAAATCAAATCCTAGAGGAAAATAATAAGCTGCTATAGGAAAAAATAGAAAGGATAGAGAAACAGTTACCAAAAAATTCCATGGAAGTAAAAAATGCTGCAAAAACTAAGAAAAACAATAACAATCCATCCATTTCAAAAGAACAGAATGATATGAATGAGACTACAAGGTCAGTTGACATAGTCACAGAACAGCCACTTTGTTCTGTTGATTTGTCTGAGCTGCCACCTAAACCAAGAATATCAAGTAGTTCAATTACAGATGATTAAAGATAGTTAGATAGATAGGTTAGTTACTTTAGTTCTTTATATAGATTACTAAAGACAAACCACATATTTTAATTCATGGCAAAAATTGCTAGAAGAGAACAATGTGATCTAAAAACAACAAACCTTGGACTGTATGAGTTTTGATTCTAATCCTATACATAATTAAACCGACAATGATATTCAGCCGTATTTTTAGCTTATTAGCATACCAATTATGTGAAACAGGATATATTTAGTACTTCAAGTAAGGGAAATTTTTACTATAAATCGGATTTAGTAGATAGATCTCTTAAATGAGTGTGACAAATATTCCCATATTTTGATATTGCTATTTACTATGATAAATTTTATTTTCAAAATGGCTAGTGTTCGGAAATAGCAGGTTACCTTCTTTGCAAAAACTTGAAGATTGCCAACTAAAGGTAATACTTTTAACTTATCTCAAAAACGGTGGGCAAAAACCTGCCAAAAAGAATTCTCTATCTGTAACGATGTTAGCAATCGTCTTTAAATTCGTAAGATCTCTCTTTCTACTTTCTCGGCAATTATAAAATAGAGAATCATGTCAAACTTCCTTGGATATTTTTCCTAATATGTAATCCATTCAGTCACCCTCTTTTTTTAATACATGTAAGTTTTCTTACACTATTCTTCTTCTTGTAGTATCAACCAATTTTGGATATTAACGATCATCATGATACTTTGACGGTTGTTTAATAACCTTCAATAACCAATTGTCTCTTCGTCTACCAAAATTCCCTCATCCAGTATATTTAAAAATTTATTCTCAGTATATATTAAAAAGAAGAAGGAATCATATGCAACCCTGTCGTGTTCCATGTTATATTAATACAGAACTCCGTCTACAACGAGAACTGAAATGACTGATTGATTAATATTAATAAATTGTGAATTTCCGAAGAAGTTTATTGCGGGCAGCAGTTAAAAAGGGTATTTATTTATAGCCAGGACCTGACCAAAAACGTAAAAAAACACGTTTTTCGATCTCATTGTCTCTTTTTATAACCAAATTTGCCTCGCTATAGAGGGTTATAGTTCAATAGAAATTTCCCGGGACATCTAATGTAGCTCGTTATACACGAAACCTCGTAATAACCGTGTTCGTTATAGAGAGATTATACTGTATAAGACATTATTAACTTCTTTCACTGTCGACATCAGTTTTTCATGCTTTATTCTGTCGAATGGCTTTACTAGTCAAGAAAACGTATATAAACATCACAATAAATGTCTCTGTATCTTTGAAATATAAGCTGAGCGAAAAATATGGTTCGTTGTATACCCAAAGCATCACTGAATCTTTTCACCATTAATATTTATTATTATTAGCATTGTGTTAGGTGCTAATAAAGCATCTAGCAATAGATTGAGAGGAATATTGTGGAATTACGTCGTGCCAAATCAATTCGAGGAATCGCTGCATTAGGTATGCTGATCATAAATGTGAGTTTCTAGTTCCCTTAACCATCAATAAAAATTAATTGAAAGCAATGAGAACTTTCAAGTTTTGAAAGATGTGGGAACGAGGATAAAAAAGCAAAAGGTACATTTGAACTACTTTGGACCTACTGTATAAAACGTAAATAAAACCAGCATGTGCTAGAATGCATGTTTAGATTCAATACTTTTCTAATGTAATATTATTGTTAGAATCGTGATAAGTGTTAATAAAGCACCTAACAACAAATCTGGACGAAGTAATCATTATGTAAACTAAAATTAAACCTAGTATGAATATTAATAAGATCAAAAAAGTCGGCATTAATTCAGCTTGTAGTTCTTTCAAACACCAAGGAAGCCAAAATACAAAAAAGAAAAGGTACATTTGAACTACTTTGAACCTACTGCATATAACGTCAGTAAAACCAACATGTATGACAGTACATATCTAGCTCAATCTTTTTTAGTGTAATGTTAAGTACTACTGATTATTTGTTCCCTATATATTTAAAAACGTTGGTAATAAAATTTTAACTCATTAAAATATGATCTTACAATCGACGCTTTAATTTATCCCTAACTGAATATAGTACTGTACATCGAAGTTTATAGATCCTAAACTTTTAACTGATTTACTGTGTAATAATGATTGGAATTTGTGGCTTATGTTCTGTTAATTCGTTTTCGTATACCTACTGTACCGTATTTGTACTGTACCCAGGAGTAGATATAACAAGTGGCCACAATCTAGTTCTAGCAAATATGAAATTCAAGTTAAAAAAGTTAAAACCAACTGCCAAAACACCGAGAATCAATCTGAGGAAACTAAAAAGAAACTGATATATACCAACAAATCAAAGAACAAGTACACAAAGAAGTTCAGGAAGTAGAAAGGCAAAAGCAATTGACAGCAACAGATAAATGGAGGAAAGTAGAGGAGATCTTGAGAAATATCATGAAACAAAAACTTCAAGAAGACACATTATCTAAAAATCAACAATGGATCACACAAGAGATAAAAGAACTGATGACGGAAAGAAGGGCACACAAGAATAAAAACAAACAACAGTACAAAAAAAAATAATAAAATAATCAAACAGAAAATCAAAGAAGCTAAGGAACTATGGTTATAAGAAAAGTGCGAAGAAATAGAAAGGTAAGATAAATAACATGACAGTTTTAACATACACCGGAAAATCAAAGAGGCAGCTGGCATATACAAGAAGAGGGATAAAAATAACAAGATAATAACGGAATGTACAGATAAAATAAACAGATGGGAAGAATACATAAAAGAGTTATTCGAAAACCACTAGAGAATTAAGGTCGTTGAATGAAATACCTACAGAAACCTTCAGAATATTAAAAAAAAATCATATGGACACACTAATAGAATTATTTAATGACATTTATTATACGAGAGAGATTTCGAAAGAATGGTTAATATTAATATTCATTTCAATACCTAAAAAATTAAACGCAATGAAGTGTGAAGAGCACAGGACAATTAGCTTGATGAAACATATTCTAAAAGTGTTCTTACGAGTGATACACGAACGTATCTATAAAAAGCTAGATGATAGAATAGCTGTACAAACACTAATCGAACGAAGTTGAGATGTCAATTCCGACGTATTCATATGTCTAGTAGACTTCGAAAAAGTTTTCGACAAAGTACAATACCGAAGAATGGCAAAAATACTGCAGAGCACAGAATTAGATGACGAAGACGTGAGAATTCTTGCCAATCTATACCGATATCAGAAAGCTATAATACGAATAGACTAACAAAACTCGAAAGAAATATTTATAAATCCTGGAGTAAGACAAGGATGTTGGCTTTCCCCTTTACTTTTTATATGTATTCAGAAAAATTGTTTAAAGAGGCATTAGAAGACGTCAATGAAGGCATATTTATTAACGGAGCATTTCTGAATAATCTTAGATATGCAGATGACACAATACTTCTTGCGGAGAGCAGAGAAGGACTACAGAACTTGGTTGATCGCATTACCCAATACTGCGAAAGGTATGGAATGGCACTGAATACAAATAAAACAAAAATCATGGTGGAAAGCAACAACAAGATTGAGGAAGACAGTGTTTATGCTAAAGTAAAACTTTTAGGCAGGGTACATAGAGATCAGTACTTAGGTTGCGAACTAAATGAAGAATGGGATAGAAGTGCGGAAATAAAACGGCGTATTGAGATAGCTAGAAGTACTTTTAATAAGGTGAAAGCAATATTATACAATGGAAAACTCAACATTGAAATTAGAACTAGAGTATTGAGATGCTACGTGTTCTCTGTGCTATTGTTTGGAGTTGACGCTTGGAAAATTACAGAGGCGACAGAGAAAAGACTCATGTGGAAAATATCTTAAACACAACATGTAGCAAATGCAGAAACGCTACGAAGAATGAAAAAAGATAAAGAAATACCTTAACAAAATAAAGAAAAGAAAAATGAGCTACTTTGATCACATACTAAGAAACGACAAATACGAATTGATGCGGCTGGTCAGACAAGGGAAGGTGGAAGGCAAAAGAGGACCGGAGAGAAGACGCACGTCCTGGTTAAAGAATCTGAGACAATGGAGTGGGAAAACGTCAATAGAACAGCTGCAGATAGGGTCAAATGGGCCATGATGATCGCCAATGTCCTTAGGGATGGGGCACGTTAAGAAGAAGAAGACGTATTTGTATTATTATTAGTAGTATTGTTCGGCTTTCTAGTTCGTACGTATAGTTGTTAAAATTTGTGTTCATACAATTAGAACTTTATTTTTGAACCACTAGTAGACATTACAATTTTAAAGCACCTGCGCTAATTTACAATCTTCTACAAAAAAGTATTTGTTTCAGGGCTATTCTGTGTTGTATTGGTCTATAGCAGGTTATTTAGTATATGAAAATAGATTTGTATAAATGTACCAAACTAATATACTTAAATTCAACAAAAATTCCCGGCTATAAATGTAAGTAGGTCCAGTAGGTTTGCTGCTTGGGGTGTTAGATTTACGCACACTTTGTTCTTGTCTTTCGTTTTGAGTTGTATTAACAGAATAGCCCTTATTTTTTCAGCACTGGTTATAAGTTGCACTTATCTACTCTTTTTTAACATTTTATTTTACACCACAACTCTGTTTTATCGTAACGCTTTGTACAGCTTTTTAACATTTTTTATTTGTACAAATTTTGTTGGGTATACGATTTTAGATGTTCACTTCAAGGAAATGTAAATTTTATGAAGTAATCAAATTATGATTGTATATACAATAATAGATAAATATTTTGTAATCATGGATATGTTTTTAAAACAAACAACTTTAATGTGATACATTTATTATGCACAGTTCATTGTAACACCACAAATCACTGTAACTACTCATAACACCAAACTCGGCGTGACTAATTGAATGCGCAGACGCAGTGTATGATATTTGCCGACTATTCGTTTAATGTGCCAATGAAAACGCTTGCTGCGAAATATAAACGCAAACATTCTTTAAATCCGTTTCAAATAATTGATATCTTTTTTTTATAATGTAATAAATTGGTGTAAACACTTATTTGGATAAATATCTGTTGTTATAAATAATGTATCAATATTAATTTGTTAATTTTTAACAGTTTATTGGTCTTCTGATGTACATCGTTATTTGCTTATATACCTGGATACACCAGTTGTTAAAATTGATCAGTTATTGACCATTTTTCTTTAAAAGTGGAGACTTTGAGGAACCTTCAACAACGGTAAACTTGTAAAAATAAAGCTGCTTTGAATAATAAGCACTTTGATCAGGAACTTTGGGGAGGACCAAATTTTTTTAGCAGTCAAACGACAAAGTGACTAGGTCTTCTTTGTTTTATTAAAGAAATTGGAAAAATTTTTTTTTGTGTGTTTTGGCTTGGACAATTGTCATTCAGCCAGTCTCAATCAAGATAAGTTTATTAATGTAGTGTGTGTGTGTGTTTGTGTGTGTAGAGTAATTGTCTTGATACTTAGCAAAGTCGACGTCATTGTCTTTGCTAAGAGACGCTAATTGTATCCGAACGTCTGCGGTCCCTCTGGTGTGTACCGATCACACAAGGATAGAAACTATTTTCATTTATTAATTTTTTTTAATAAACGAAAATTTCCACCCAGGTGGGATTCGAACTCACGACCTTTAGGTTTAAAGGCAGGAGCTCTTACCACTGAGCCACAGAGGGGGTTAAATTGGAAAAATGCTTTTGTTCAAGTTTGTGGTGCCGTTTTTCAGAAATTAGTTTAAAATTAGATTGCCCATTTTGCTCGCATTTAATGCGTTCACTTAGCTCTAAACATTTTGAGCAAACATCTGTTCTTGGAGTTTTAAAGCTCAAAATATATTTTCTGTTAAATATAATATAGCGAAAATACGCTATATTTAGTGTACATTAAATATAATTTTGAGACGCTAAGTTCAGATGGAAGATATATTCTTTTCGTCACTAAGCGATAGTAATGGGATTCAGTACATTTTAATTGGTTTGTAAACTTTTGCACTCCTTCCAGCTTATCCCGATATTTCGCAGTTTTTCGATCACCACCTCTGCGTTCAATCGGTACATGGCCTGTTTCATTAAATCGTGTTATCACATAGGAAATCCTGTGTTTTGTAATCCCTAGCACGTTGAAAAAAGCTGCTTAGCACACTGGAACTTTCTCCTCGGATAAAAAATTATGGATGAAACATTTTACCTAGTACTTCTTTGGAGAATACTTTTCATTTTTCAGCCAATCACGGAGAGTACGATTTACAGTGCAGTATTTCAAAATAAAGGCATATTAAGTCGCTTTATATGTTTAGTCTCATAGAAGAAACTATGAAATTTCTGTATATCGTTAATTTTCAGCATGCAGCACCTATATATAATATATAATATTCTGGCATATTCTTCGCAGAATATCTACAACAAGAAATAATTATTATGAACATAAGTACTGAAATGGGTTCAAGTTTTAACAAAATTTTAACAAAATATCAATGTTCAACAACGGCTTAATAATAATAATAATAATAATAATAATAAATATAAATATAAATAATAATAAAAATGAATACTTTTTCTGTATATAAAACTAATTTCTTAGACACATCTATAGTTTAGGAAAAGCACAAAAGCAATATAATGACTTCCAAAACTAAAACAAATTATAATAGCACGATTTAATGGCAAATCTAACCATGTGTTGATCACGTGCATGCGCTAGGTAGTTCTTATTGGCCGCAGCAGAGATTACCGTGTGTGGTACGCACTCAGCTATGGAGATTGCCGCCTTTGATTTTACGCCCTCAATTGTAGATTTAAAATATAAATAGACTATGCGTTTCATCAGGCAAAGTAAAGGGGTCATTTCCTTTTTCCTCTTTTTTTTTTCTTTTAAACTTTTTTCCTCTGACTCTGTCTTTTTGTACTGAAGGGGTAAAATAAAATAACTATCTAACTTGAGAGACACTAGAAACTGTCGGCTTGCTCAATCTATTGTATATATGTCTTTGATTATAATCCGTGTTTGAAAATATGTTTAAAAACCGTTCTTAGCTGACATTAGTTATTATTAACAAAAATAACATATTTATTTGGAGAGAATAATTAAGAACCTTACTTTATAATACATAGCACTTACTGAACAGATTAAGGCGTCGTTTGTTAATAAAAAATGTATATATAATTGTCTTATATTACCAAAAATTCATTTATAATACGAATCAAAACATCGCACCCGCACAAAGTTTGTATATTACCACAACATAACACGTCAGATTTGAATTTTCATTTCGTACTAACATTTGTTCTTTTTGTTGTACGCACTATTTACGAATTTTGTACATTTAATATTTTGATTTTCTTTTGAAGGTGGATTTTTTAATAAACTGCGTGTCAACTAAAAGAAGATATAGTACCGCTAGGGAATTCATTTTGTACTCCATGCATGCTCCATCATTTTTAATTATTTTTTTATTTTGTATAAAAAGACTAAATCCGTTTATAATTATGTAAAGTAATAAAGAAATTATATTATAATTGAGTTTTTTATTAAAATTTTGTATTATTGGGTCACAGGTAACATTAATTGTATATGTTATTCCAGTGGATGAATAATTTGGCTCAAATAATTGAACCAAAATTCGTCAGATATTTCTGCGACGTTGTCACGCTTTGGAAAAAGTCCGAAAATAAAATAAGAATAATAAGTTTCGTCCATCGAGCAAAAAGACAAAAGAAGGAATGTAAAGGTAGTGGGGGCAAAAATATTGTTAGACAGGAAGTGCGATCTTTAGAGGCCACAACAAGGAAAGAGAGTCTCTCTCCTTGTTTGACATCAAATTTAGTTGGGTTATGTTATTGTTTGTCCCAAATGTCACATGAAATCTTATTTATATTGAAGTTTTTTAACAATTGTGTCGCATTTTAGACTATTATCGTTAATAATTAATTAAAACTTTCTCGTCTAAGACACATTCTGAAAAATATTATATAGCTACTGTTAATAAGTGTCGGAAAATTTAAATTTGGCGCATTGGCATTTCCAGATATGTCCGCCATCAGATTTCACTTTTTTGGACTCCTTTTCATAAGGATTAGATTCCCTCTTTTGTCTTTTTGCTCGATGGTTTCGTCCATCGAGCAAAAAGAAATCATAAATATTTAATTTTAATTAAAAAAATAATTATTGTCATTAACATATAAATGAGCACGCCGCTGTTCTGATAAACATACCTTCAACCTTGAGCCGAGATCTTTCGGACACTTGATTCTATAGCGAGAATAGGGGACTGCGTAGTCTATATATTATACCCAGAGAGTTCCCAGCTGTTCTCCGAGTGTAGAGGTTCTCTCTCACCGGCTCTGGAAACCGATTGAGCCATGTGTTACCTCTAGTCAAATTTAATTTAATACTGAACATCACAGTTATTTTACAACACAATGTACAATCTTTCATAACTAAATTTAATTTAAAGGGTTTTTACCCTAGTATTTTGGTGGCTCAGGCATTGTGACCTAGCATTTTTCGATTTTAAAAACCTGATGATGGACTGTGTGGTCCGAAAACGTTTGTTTTATTGATGTGGCCCTTTTAAGGGTTTTTTAAATAAATATACCCATTTACAAAGATTAACCTCTTTTTGTTATACGTGGTATACAGCCAGCTACAGGAATTTTTCCTTGTGGATTTTATATATTATACGTCATTGGGGACAAACAATAACATAACCCAACTAAATTTGATGTCAAACAAGGAGAGAGACTCTCTTTCCTTATTTAATGTGGCCTCTAAAGATCGCACTTCCTGTCTAACAATATATGTGCCCCACTACCTGTACATTCCCTCTTTTGTCTTATTGCTCGATGGTTTCGTCACAGAGTTCTATCGAAGTCCCTACGATCGTATTACGACAGATTTAAAGCCGGCGAAAGCGCGCTACTTTTCAGCAGTAAAAAATAAGGGGGCAAGAATTTAAAAATTACACTTGGACTACATATACCTAAGAAAATTTTAAAAGATATTGTTTATGTTGGCTTTATTTATGATTTTTATCATGCAATAATAAAATCTGGGACTTATTTTATCAACTTAAAACTTGTAATCCAGTAAAACGATTGTTTTATGCCAAAACAATTACAAAAGAGATACCTGAGAATTGGGAAAATGTTGAATGTGGATATTTATTATTTGTATTATATATTACCTACAATAATATAGGTATATAAATGCCAAAAGTTCAAGAATGACTGAATAAGATATATTTAGTTAGTTCGTGTTTTCTTGAAGTAGCATTTACTGTTTTAAGGAGTTCGATAAGGTGACAACTGAGAAAGATTTAGGAAAGAGTTTTCTAGCGCTAAATGCGGACGGGCCGAAACTAATTTCATTTTCCGGTAAATTTAAAACATAGATTGTGAATTTTAGTCGCAAATTAAAAAAATATGCTCTGAATTTTATGAGGCAAATTCAAAAAGTATGCATATAAGTAAAAATGATTATTTTTCGTCTAAGAGATATATATCTTATTTAAAACAACTTATACAAATTTCCATATCACGGGAAATAAGAGTGAAATTGAAATTTGAAACAATGTTTATATTTTTGCCCCCTTATTTGTGTCTACCTAGCGGACAAAGCACACACTAAACTTTAAAAATCAGCTTCACTTATTGTCCTCCAGTTCTACTTCTAATTTATTATCAGAGTATATATCACTAATCACTATTATTAATACATCTAACTAAGGTAACAACTTTTAGTTCTGATGTTTTGTAATGAAATATTATTTTTGGGGTTTATAAGCTGCAGTCTGGAATTATTTTGTCCTGAAATTGTGTCTAAGAATGCAACAGATATTACCAAATGCGATAAGGCAACACATATTTACCATTGCCAAAATGGTACTCCCGAGAATATAGAAGGGCAATAAAAAGAGTTATATTTTGTAAACTAATTTATTTCATTCATATTATAATATATTTTGTAGATTCAAAACATGTAACATTTTTCATAGAGCATAAACCATTCGCGTTACAAAAATCAACTGCAAAAATATAACAAGGGTATGTACAAAAAGTATTCAACTATTAAAATATACACTGTGCATTTACTATAAAAATAACAAAGATTCATATTGACAGCAATTTCATCTACAATTAGGCAGGATTCAGATAGTATGTAGTCAGAAATCTGGCTCTTTAACCTCTTAGCTTAGCCAGTTGAGCCTCAATGTCCTCATCGCTCATTCCTTTCGATTTGGAACCCTGTCCTATCTTGCCAGTCTCTGGTAATGGTGCTCCTGCCATCTAAAAACAGATCAAATCCAAAATCAAAATTGTACAGATATAAAGTTTCTGTTCTAAAATAAAAATAGCCATTAATATTGCCAACCTCCGTAGGGAGACGGCACTCTAAGAAGAATGGTAAAGAACAGCACAACATATCAAAATTATGTCCATAAAGAAGTCCAAAGAGTACCATAAAGAAAAATACCTAAGTCCATATATGCTTAGGAGTTAATAACAATATTGCATTACAAACCCATAAAGTGAGTATGTATTGAAATATGACAAAAACTTATTCCTGGTGTATATAAAGTATTCCCATACAATTCAGGACTGCCCAAAAGCACTGGGGTCCTTCTTAAAGCCCAGTTTACAATTTATTTGATACATTCATACAGATTTAATATCCTTGAATCTATATGTTGGTTCTAAACTTCAAAAACTAATTAAACATGTGCTTGTGTTTCTTTAATAATGCACAGAAATCTTAATATAATATAAAAACTATAATTATTACCTTTCCACTGACTTCAATGCCAATCTCATCTAATACTTGGGTAACAATGTTATCACTTTCCTCTTCATCTCCTGATTCAGTTAGCATGTCATCTAAAGTGTCATTAACTGCAAGAATTAAATTATTATTTTGAGATCATAACAATATCATCCACAAAAAAAAACAAAGTTCAAAAATACATACTAATCATGTTTTTAAATGAATATATTTCTTATAGAGTAAAAACATTAAAAAGTTAAAAAAATATTTTATTGAGAAAATATATTTTCTTAATATACATGGTGCCCCAATAATGTTGGCCATTATCTATATGTTGGAAACTACAACAGATAGAGTGATGAAAAAGGAACACTACAAACAGTTTTCTGTGTTTACTAATACACAAATATTTCTGTGGTGGATGCTATTATCTGATGTTTCTATTGATAAAGTAGATATACTGAACCAGTGGAAGGACATGTTTGACATAACAATTGTTTTTATTACTCAGCTATTCTTAACAGCTACATTGTTATTATTAGGTTAACTCTAGTGGTATCCTGCAAATCTCTAAGCAATACCAATTCCAACAAGCCGTCCCATACTTAATTAGGGTAAAATTGACCAAGTTATGGCTGCAACAGTTCAACAAGATTTAGCACTGCTCACTATTTATGTTGTAAGCAATAAAGAAAAAACTAGAGACAAAATGGTGTATCGTAAGTTAATCTTTTAAAATATATACCTAAATTTAATGCAAATATTCCCCCAAAAACTCCCTTTGTAAAGTTTGTCAATAGTTACAATTTTTCCTATAAATCGTTCGGTTGTAGTTCACAAGATATAGGTGGTGTTTACAATCCTATATATGTACTCACCCATTTCATCTGTCATCTCCATTTTCATATTTTCTCTAGAGAATGCATTAAGAGTAGATGCCAATTCTTCGGGGTTCATAATTTTGTTCATATCTGACATAGTCTTTCCTGCTGTGCCCATCGCATTTGCCAATTTAACATTAGCTCCCATAGCTTTGTTCTGGAACGCTATTCCTTGAACTTTACTGCCAGCTGTATATGTTCGCTGTTTCTGTTTACGAAGCTGCACTAACTGTTTTGCTAATATTCTACAACCTGCTGCATCTCCACTCTTTGCTAACTTCTTAATTTCTTGTTCCTTAAACATATCAAGAATATAGAACTTATTTTAATAGGCAGAACTATCATTTATATATTTAATATAAAATTAGTTATTTGATAATATAATTACCAATTTTTGCTCATCTCGTTCTAGTTGCCTACGATCTCTTTCAATGTCTCTTCCTACTTTCCTTAATGACCTATCAACTTCTCTCTGTTCATCTGCAATACAATGATTTTTTAATACATTTTCATTATATCTTGAGAATTTATTGTTATATTAAAAATTTGTTAAATGCTGCATATTTAGTTTAACTCATACATAGTTGTTATGGTGGCAGGGAATGGGTTAACATTTCACAATTAAAAACAATTGCATCTCTGATCTGTCCTTGTATTCAAATTAGGCCAACAAATAAAACTATACAGCATTATACCTATCAAGTCATTTTAAGCTAATAATGCATATAAAATCAGGAAGTCATTTAAAAGAAAAATTTGTAAAATGTAAAAAATTACCTACCTTTTGGATCAGGTTTGGACCAAAAATTGAACATGTTGATTTATAAGATTATTGAAGAAAAATACTACCAAAATCGTTTAAATATTAAAATTTCGATACTGTTTTTTCGATGAAAACAACTTTATAATTCGTCGTAAACTTTTATAGGATAATTACAATAAATTCCAGTTGTTACTCATAGTTTGTTTTTAGATTTGACTTTGACACTGCAGATTTTGGTTAAGGTCTTTTTCTTCATATGTACGTTTTCGCTCTTAATTTTGAAACATGTAATTAAAAATAATTTAATATTTAATAATGTAAGTGTAACAAGGAGGTAGGGCCCCTGTGAATCTGAAATTCATATCAATGGATTGTGCTGCAGTCAACTGATTTTATGTAGAATTTACAATGCATTTTATCGGGTACCCAGCATTAATTTTTATGTATTTTGTACATAACATGTAAAGTAGATGCATACACCCTAGCCTAGTAAAGTAAATAATTATTATTTTAATTATTAATAAATTATTTTATTTTCCTGTATCACTAAAGATTTTAATTTGTGTTCTGTGACAGTAGTTTCAATATCAATCGTTGAAAACGAAGAAGAAAATAAGGCGAGTATTCTTCTTCTGTGAGAAACATAAATTTTGACAACCAAAATCAAAACAATACAATTTTTTATTTGAAATCATTTAGCAATAAATTATGAATTATTTAATCATCTTTATCATATTGACTACCATAATAAAATGCTCAATTTCCTCTGCAGGTGACCATTCACCTTATTACCAAAGGTGTGTCGAAAGATGTGAAATATTGAATTGTACTGAAGGTAAGCACTCCCAGTTAATATTAATTTTTTTTTTAATTTTTCGTCTTTCTTAGATGGTAAAGAATTTTTAGAAGATAAACAACCAATTGTCCTTAAATTTACATTATGGGACTGTAGTCAAGAATGTCACCATGAGTGTATGTGGAAAACAGTAGATGCATTCCATGAGAGAGATTGGAGAACACCACAGTTTTATGGAAAAGTAAGTTATCATCAACTATATTGTAATTATGTAATAACCTATGTGTAATAAACATTTCTAGCAAAGTAATTCAATTGTTGAATTCTATACAAACATATTTCATAATGGTGTAAAGTTGATCACCTAAAAATGATTTAGGTATAATTTTTTTAAACCTTAGATATAACACTTGAAAAATTATATAAAAAAATATTTTCTAGAGATTTTACTATACTATGTTCATTCCCAAGATAAGCTTGAGATCACACTGATTGGTGGGTGGGTCATGTTATCACAGCTTGTCATTGGTTAGAAATTAATTTTATTTATTATTATTGAAATAATTTCTGGCCAATGGCAAGCTGTAACGACACAACAATCACTGATCACTAGTCTGTAATGGTGAAATTGAACTTATCTTGGGAATGAATGTAGTATAGAAAGAAATTTAATAAGTTTTAATAATAAAATCCATTTTAAATTTTTTAGTGGCCTTTTATCAGGGTATTAGGAATGCAAGAACCTGCATCTGTGATATTTTCTCTGCTCAATGGATATTTCCACATAAAAATGATTAGGAAGTTTAGAAGAGAAGTAAGGGGTGACAGTCCTTTAGTATGGTTATGGCATGCATTCTTCATTGTAAGTATTTAAAAATATAAATTACCATCTTTAAGAAACTCCTTCATGTATAGAGATACAAAAAATGAACTAGCTTAACTTTTATGCAATTTTTTTGGATATGTGGTACCGTTCCCTTCATAAAAAACTGGTACAACTCTTATAATTAAAAATCGTGTTTTTTAAGTTAAGTAAGTTGATCTTGTGTCATGTGTTATTATGATTTCTAGGGCACCGTTGCCAGTTCAACGAAAATATTATATAAAACCAGCTAAGTGCAAGGCTGTGTGACAGACCGCCAGTTTTGAGTATACTAAAAACTTGAACATTATCGAGCATTCTCAATCAGTCATTCACATTAAATTTGTTTAAACATGCATCCAAAAAAATTCTCATATTAATTTTGTAATTTTGCTTCATGTCAATTAAATACTCATATATTGATTTGTATTTTACAACAATTCATGAAAATATTTCAACTCAAAAATAATGACAGATAATCAATCTAGACAAACTTCAAATTATTGTAATAAACATTACAATGAGATATTGGATTGTTACTGTTACGTTTTGAAAAGCGTTTTTTCGCACCGAACATTTTGTAGTATATAATATGTACGATAAAGTATAATGTTAGTTCTACACATTTTTTATCGTTCTTGTAATAAATAATAAATTGTCTGGGTAGTTTGCCTGTTACAATTATTGACACAAAATACAGTTCGAGTTCGGTAGGTAATTGAAATATAAAATTACAGTAGATGCATTCTAATGTTCCCTGTACCAATATCCTAGGTTTAAAGATCCTTCAAACATTTTGAATAATATCTCAACCATATCTCTGCTTATTTAATTTCTTAGATTCAGTTTTTTTTTTTTGGTAATGATAAAAATAATACCTAGAAATTTTATACATTTTTGAACATTATTTTTTTATTTAGATTTAGTGCAATTCCGTTATCTATAATGGCAACAACGAATTGATTTCTGAACACAGGTTTACATTGGGAAAAAAAAGTGTACCAGTTTTATATGATGGGAAGTGTACTTGGAATGTGGGTATTTAGAAGACTACTTAAAATTCCCTTGACAGATCACACAACAAATGTCGAAGTATTAAATTGAATGGCAGAAAACAAGAATTGCTGCCAATTATAAAAAGAAGAAAAACTGATTATCAAGAGTCATATATTTCAAAATTTTAAGTACCAGTTCCTAAAGCTTATTATGAAAGGGAAGATAGAAGGAAAACCGGGTATTGGAAGAAAGAAATACTCATGGCTTAAAAACATAAGGGATTGGACAAACCTTGATGCCCATGCACTCTTTAGAGCCACACAAGATGGAGAGGAGTATGCCAGAATTGTCACCGACATCCACTAATTGGATAGAGCACCATAAGAAGAAGAAGGTTCTTGGAAGTGAAATGAAGGGAAAACATTAATTCTTAGTATTTACTATGCTTTGGCCTAGCTGGGCAAAATGATGGTAAAGAAAATAACAAATAGAAGGCCAAAACCCACTAGGATATACTGATGGTAAACAGATAGAGTGGTGAGAAAAGAATTTCATTACTAAATCAAGATTTAGTCATCATAAATTTACAGAAATTTTTTATAAACACAAATTAGTCACTCCTGCTAAACCTCTTCACTATACACTCAAAATAATAATAGATTTGGGTAGGTTTCTGTGATTCCTTTTTGATTTACCTAAGCATATATCTTTTCAGGTTTCAGTACATGCATGGACCTGGTCAGCCATTTTCCACTATCGAGATTTTCCTTTAACAGAAATTTTAGACTATGCCTGTGCCTTCTCTATGGTATTGATGAATTGCTATGTTATGGCTATGAGGTAAATGTATTTTCGTAATTTTACTACTCAATAAAAAAAGTATTTATTAATAATAGCTTCAAATTCTTCTGAATAAGGTTGTTTTCCTGGAGAATATCTGTATACACCAGTCTTACTGCAGTCAATAGGCCTATTGTACTTGTATTGTATTGGATTTTCCAGCTGCAAACCCATATTGAACTACAGATAATAATTCTTTACATTGCCAATATAGTTGATTGTATACTCTTTTATCAAATAACTTTGGTATTGCTGATTGCTTAGAGACTCTACGATAATTTTTTACATTATCTTTGTTATGTAATGTAAACATAGCAAGAAACACAAAGAAATTGACCTAGTTAGTGCATTGTTTGATAATTGTTTAAACATAGAAAAAGCACGTCAAATAGAAACTGTTGTTGTAAAAATAACACCGCTCGTGGCCCAAATGAAGCATAGAATTACTAACTCAGCGAAAACGCAACCTTGGTACTACAACCGGTCAATGAGGACACGCGTTGATAAAAACCAAACTAAGGAGGCCAAGCGGGAGTATATATAATAGCGGGGCACCGTGACTGGCCGCTCAGGTAGTATTGCCGGCATCGGGTCGGACGCGATAGCGTCCCGTACGCGCAGGCAGTCGGTGTCTTCGGGCAGGGTTGTTAATACGAGAGTCGGCACCAGGTGCGGATTACGCGCGATTGATATATTTCGACGGGGTATAGTTCCGTATAAGTGTCGGGTACTGAAAGAAATCCGATTTCCAGAGGAACTGAAGGGCGTATCATTAGCTAGAGCCTAAATACGCGAAGGTAACAAAATTCTATATACTAACCCGAGTAAATTATAGTATTACAGATTGTCACCCCTTTACTTTCTTGCTAAGATCTCTTTTCGTCTCCCTTCGCGCCGAACGAGTTATTATTAATTATATCTGACAGCTTGTTAACTTAATTGTAAACCACCTAGTATATTCAATACATTTGTAGACTCTAAATTTGGTTTTTATGCTCCTTCCGACTGATTCAGACAGAGACCAGAAGAGTACCAAATTTCGGCTTATACATTTATCCGGCTTCTAAAGTAAGTCCATAGACTCAAACTCTTTACAGGACCTGAGACCTAGAAGTCCTTAACCCCTTTCTTCCTTACGTAGTAAGAAGTAAGTTCCTTACCTTCTCGTAAATCCACGAAGGTGAGCCAGCCCTCCAGACTAGTGGGACCAGTATTCCTTGCAGCCGCTCGCAGGGATAAGCATCCTTTAAGGTTCATCACCAGTATATTGTAACTAATCTTGTAATAGACAATACAACGATTGAGCGTTTGCCCTGTTATAAATATCTAGGTGCTTGGATCACAGACGATACTGATCAAACAAAAGAGATTAAATGTAGAATAGAAATCGCTAGATCAGTCTTTAATAGAATGCGCAAACTCTTTTGCAATCGTGATATCAATATAAAGTTAGGAATAAGAATGCTGCGGTGTTATGTCTTTTCTACCCTGTTATATGGAGTTGAGGCTTGGACACTAAAACAGTTGACCATAAAAAACATCGAAGCTTTCGAGATGTGGTGCTATAGGTGCATTCTCAGAATATCATGGATGTACCGCGTCACTAACACGCAAGTACTCCAAACTTTAGACAAAAGATGCGAAATTCTAAATGAGATAAAAACTAGAAAGGTGGAATACTTGGGGCACATTGTGAGAGGTGAAAAGTACGAACTTTTAAGAAACATCATGCAGGGCAAAATTCAGGGTAAAAGAAGTGTGGGAAGAAGAAAAATATCGTGGCTTCGTAATCTACGTGAATGGTTCGGGTGTAGTTCAATTGAACTTTTCAGGCGCGCTGCTAACAAAGTCGCAGTGGCCATGATGATTTCCAATCTCCGCTAGGAGTGGCACGAGAAGAAGAAGAAGAACCAGTATATTACAGTGGTGACAGCGTTGTACAGTGGTGAAGATTTTCTCACCCTCTAGTTCCAGATGTTACAATAGGGGATATAACCTCCCGCTAGTTGTACAGTGGTGACAGCACCACATCACAGTGGTGACAGCGGAGCCCTAGTAGTTGTACATTTGGCGACAGCGGTGCCCCCAGTACATTACATTTCCAGCTACATTTACTATTACATTTCCATGTTACCAGCTTTAAAAATAGGTGATACATAGCTTTCTTTCCATCTAGTTGGGAAGGAGCATGTAAGCAAAGATAATTAAACAGTAGGTGTATTGGTTTGGAAATTGTAACTGAACAATGTTTCAAAAAATAATTTAGATTATTATCTGGTCCCGTTGAAAAAGAGTTTTTGAGTTGACATATACCATCATGAATATCAGAAATTTTAATAGTATATAAAGATTTATTTGCTATGAATGTTAAGTTAATTTTAGTAGTACATAAAAGATTAAATGTGTAAGCTGTATGATTATTATCTGAAGGCATTAGAAGGTCTACCGCTGGTTCTACTTTGACTTCAGATATATTTGTAAACATTAAATCTAAATATTTACCCCTATCTTGAATGTACTACTTTTTGAACAAAATTATAAAAAAAAATATTTAGCAACTACTAATGCATTTAGTATATCGCCTCAGGTAAATTATACTCATCTAGTATTATAAACTTGCTATCTGTGTGTCCTTGGTATATGGTATTGACAGATTCACAGTGAATTATGTAGCATTCCATTGAAGATCTAGGTGGTAGATACTCCGATGACTGCACCAATAATGTTATGGTGATAACTTAACATTAGTTCCGCATATATTAGTTCAATGGTATTATTAGGAGAGGGAATGAGTTTTGACCTAAATCTATCAGCTATTGCTAGTCCTAGTTCCACCTAGCTTTTTAGAATGTGTTGCCATGCTCCTGTCACGATACATATTATAACCACGAAATTTGAATTCATGTTCTGAAAACTTGTCACTCAACCATGATTTAATAATAACTATAGTATCATATGAGCAATTTAATACTGACATCTCTAACTGCACTTGATAGGAAAATGCTCAAATAACAAAAGTTATACAACGCTGTGTGCTTCCGCCCCAGGGGTGTAACTTTTGGAATATGTTTATTTTATTTAAGTCAATCAGATTTTTATGCATAAAGCGCTTAATGCATGCAGTCCGACAGAATTATGAGGTAAAGATCTATTTTCCGCCTGAGTTACTGGACCATTAGAGTCTATGATACTGTAGTCCAGAATTTCTAATAATTATTTCCAACAAAACTAGCGCAATTTTTTAAATTCCTTGTCTTTACTTTGCTTCATTAGTGTACAATTTAGTATCTACACTGTGTTTTTTATGAGGGATCCTTATACCAACGATTTACTTCAATAAAAAAAAATATTTTTAGGTTATTATATGGTAAACTTCCTACATATGGGTTAATTGGAATAACACTCATTTTTATACTGTTTCTGATGAGCCATGTAGCATATTTAAGTATAGGACGCATCGACTATGGTTATAATATAGAACTCAACATTGCTGTTGGTAAGTTGTTCTATTTCTATGTAGTAATTTTCATATTTTTCGGGCAGATTTGAAGCAATATACAAACTAATTACATATTTAAATTCCAAAATGGAATCATTCTAAAAAAATCTCGTTTTGACATTGTCTAAAATCTGGATGGCTGACAGTTACACAACAGAATACAAAATTTACAAAAATAAATTAAATAAGTTAATTATTGAAACACAAATAATTATTTTTACTCAGAAATTAGAAAATATAAAAAGAGTTCCAAAGGTCTATGGAATACAAGTAAACAATTAGATAATGATAGCACAAAAAATAAAATCAATGTATATTAAATAAAAATATTGAGTTAATCACTGATAAATCAGAATATTAGCAACCTTTTTTATGATTTATTTTCCAATGTAGGGATTGAGCAAAATAACTAAAGATTTTTTATATGGATTTTTTTTCAGGTACTTTCACGGCACTTTGTTGGTTTGTCTGGTGTTTTTATAATCGTTCTAGTCAAAAGTATGTATGGAAATGTGCTATTTATGTAGCAATGTCCGGACTTGTTCTACTGTTGGAATTAATCGATAGGCCTCCAATATATTTTACAGTCGATTACCACGCATTGTGGCATTTCTCCACAGCACCTCTCATTATTTTTGTATATGGGTATGTATAGTAAATTATCAAATGTATTAATTTTAACAAGTATTAATGTAGTTATTAGTTTTAATAAGTATTTAACAAGTATTCAATGTTTGACATATTAACCATCACAATTAATCTATGGTTTAGGTACAAAACTTTTCCATCGACTGTGTTTTTAATAAAATGCAGAAAATATAAGTCGAAATTGTTATTTGACATATACAGAGCAATAATTTTTATGTTTGAATTAATTTGGGTCAATTGAATGGTTTTGTGGAAAAGAAGAAGAAGAACGTGGATATAATTATAACAGGAGACCTTAACGGCAGAACCAGAAGGAAAGAAAACGATAAAGTAGTGGACAGATTTGGAGAGGATGAACAAAACGATAACGGAGAACATCTGATTGAATTATGCGAACTAAACAACATAAAAACCACCAACGAATTCTTCAGTCATAAAAATATTCATAAATATACATGGATGCAAGAAACATGAAAGCTGAAATCGATAATAGACTACATAATAATCAAACAAGATACCACAATTAAGATCAAAGATGTGAGAGTCAGAAGAGTAGCAGAATGTGGAACTGGCATAAACTACTGACAGCAAAAATGGGCATTAATTGGAAACATAACAAGACCCCTTCTACAGAAGAACCGTTGAACACTATAAGAGAAAAACAATACAATATAGAACTACTCCAAGAACAATCAATAAGAGAACAATACAACCAACCTCTAGACCAAAAATTAATAAAAAATAAGCAGCAGAACAAATAAACTGCACTATTATGAAATAAATGAACCAACAAAAGGGATAATTAAAAAAAAGCAACTATACAGAAAATGGCTGACTAGAAAAAACGATGTAGTTTATAAAGAGTATAGAGAAAAAGATAGAGAAGTGAAAAAACAAATAACACAACATAAGAATAAAGAATGGGAGGGAACCTGCTTAAATATTGAAACATGCATAGGCGGTACAAGAACTTGGGAAGTAATGGAAAGTACTGAAAGGATTGAAACAAAACTCAAAAGAAAAAATTAAATTGGGAAATATACAGAACGGGGCGTTTGACATAAAACGTGACATACAATGTGAAATTCAACGGAAGACGTGACGTTTGACATAAAATGTGACATTCGACGTATGACGTGACATAAAATGTGACATCTGATGTATGACGTAGTGTTTGACATAAAACGTGACATAATATGTGACATTCGACGTATGACGTGACATGAGATGTGACATCTGACGTATAACGTTGGGTTTGATATAAAACTTGACATAATATGTGTAACATTAGATATATGACGTGACGTTTGACATATTATGTGACATTCAACGTCTGACGTGACATAAAATGTGATATCTGACGTATGACGTTGCGTTTGCGTAAAGTAGATAACAAAAATAACAACCATTTGATATGAAATAATGTGAATGATCTCTTTGCGTTTGTTTTTTTGTGATAACATATTCATTAGCCCATCCTCTTTCATTTTGACAATGTTGCCATGTTTGATTTTATGGTTGTCATATTCGATATCCCATCCTCTTTCATTTGACGTCTCATACGTCAAAATTGGACCAATAGCAACGAGGGTACAATATAGTACCGCTGTGGCAATGTCTATCCATCTGTTTTTTGTGTTAACGTATTGGATATCACTTCCCCTTTCATTTAACGTCTTACACGTAGTAATCTGACTAATAACAACAGAGAAACGATATAGTGCCGTTTTGGCATTGTCTTTGCGTTTGTTTTTCGTCCTAACATATTTATTACCACCTCCCTTTCCATGGATATCTTGTACGTTGAGGCGTTTAGACATTACAAGCCTAAGGTCCTTTTTACAATGCTGCCATCTTTGTTTTTGTGTTAACATATTCGTTAGCCCCTCCCCTTTCCGATGATACCTCTTACGTCACGATCCGATATGCCGTCGTGCCTCCATCACGATGACCATGAGCCAAAAATGACCAGAATAGACCTTAGCGATTTCTTATGGGATTTAACATGGGAAAATAGCCAGAACTGTCACAGCCCCTTTACTAAAGAATGAAAAGACTATTACAAGGAACTGTTAACAGAACAAAGACCACAATTCATTGGGAAAGAAAATAGGCGAAGACGAAGCAGATTCCCACAAGAAGAAATAGAAATAACAGATAGGGAAATGAGAAAGGCCATAAAAGCAATCAAAAATAAGAAAGCACCAGGACCTGGAGGCATCTCACCTGAGCTTATAAAGTACGGCTCAAAAAAATTAAATGGATATTTCAGAAAGCGATAAATGGAGAACAGCTCCCAAAGGAATGGACGGAGGCCTATATGACATATATATTTAAGAAAGGAGATGGAAAACGATGCGAAAACTACAGAGGAATAAGCGTAATATCATTAATAGGAAGATTATATGGGAAGATACTGCGAGAAAAGATACTGCAAGCGATAAAGGCAAAATCGGGGAGGATCAGGCAGGCTTCACCATATACTAAGGCCGGCCTAGATATTAACCTCGCGAAAACAGAGTACCTACCTTCAAGTGAAGAAGACAGAAGATCTACAGATTGACGACAACGTAACAATCAAAGGAAAGAATAAATTCCAATACTTGGGGTTTATACTCGTAATCACGAAAAAGGCAACAACAGAGGAAGACATTATGCGAAGATTAGGACTAAAAGAAATAGCAATCCTGAGTTAAAACGATTTAACTCAGTATGGTGGGATAGACACGTAAATCCCGATCCCCTATCCCCGAGCTACTTAATTGTCCTACCTACCCTCGGGAGGTTGTTTGAAAAGATAATAAATGGAAAAATACAAGATGTTGTAGGACATCTAATTAGCGAAGACCAAAGTGGATTTACGCCTGGTAGATCTTGTACTGATAACTTGTTCATACTCCAAAAATTAATAGAAAAAAGAATAGGGGTTGGTACCGAAGTACATCTAGCCTTCATCAACCTAGAAAAGGCGTGTGATACAGTTCCAAGACTTAAATTGTGGCAAGCTTTACAACAACTCGGCATTAGTCCATACGTTTTAGGAATAATCACAGAAGTATACAGGGATATCACCACTTACCTAAAAATCGGAAATATACCATCAGAGCCAATAGAAGTAACTAAAGGACTAAGACAAGAATGCAGTATGTCACCCTTACGGTTTAATTTATATATTGAGGCAGCCCTCCAAAAAGTGGAAAAACCACTACCAGTGGGAAAAAATGGGAATCCCCATATGAAATGAACTTTGCAGATGAGATGACCAAGTGGTCCTAGCTCAAGATCTTATGATCTAGAATTTATGATAAAGCGTGTATACAGAGAATATGTAAAATGGGGGTTACAAGAAGAAAACAAAATATTTAGTTATCAATTCAGATGCAAGATTTGAAGTATTGATAGACGAAGTCGTGGAAATAAAACAAGTGGAAAAATTTAAATATTTAGGTGCGCTCATTGATAAGAACGACTTGGGAGAAACCAAAATTAAACACCGAATTAATCAGGGAGGTAAAATTCCAGGATGTCTAAACTCCTTATGGAGGGATGGCAACATTTCCAAAAGAAACAAACATGGCTCTGAAGTATGGACAATTAATGCAGACCCGAAGAGAAGATTGTTGGCAGTTGAAATGGATTATTTGAGAAGATGTGCTAGAAGATCAAGGCTGGAAAGGAAGACCAACGAATCTATGAGAAATAACATGAATGCTACAGAAACAGTAATTGACAGAATAGAAAGTAGAAGTTTAAAATGATTTGGACACCTATTGAGAATTCCTGAGGAACGTTGGCCCCAACAGCTTCACAGATGGAAGCCCCCTGGAAGAAGAAAAAGAGGTAGAGCTCGACGCTCATGGAATGAAGAAATTAGAAGAGCGATGGAATCGAGAGGTTTGGAGAAGGAGCATGCCTTGGACCGGGAGAATTGGCGGAAGAGATTGGTCTCCAAAATGTATTGTATTTACAAGTTGGATCCTTTAATAGTATGTTTGCGTTATACCCAAACTTCCCTTTTAAAGTGAGTCAACAGGTTTTACATTAATATAAATGCACAGTCGATGGAAATTATATTAATGCATTGAGATATTACTTCTAAAACTGATACTTTTTTTGGCAATTTATTTATTTATTTTTTATGGAAATTATTTGAATTTTTTTTAGATTTGCTATCGATGATTGCAAATATTTGAGAAATAAGAAAGACTTGGCGAAGAAACTGCCCTGAGGATCGGACAAGAGAACTAAAGATAAGAAGTATAAACGTCGAAATGCCAATTCCTTGAATAACCACAAAGTCATATCATTTTATAGATAAGTGGTCTAGTCACTTCAAAACGAATAATGAACAAGACTTGTTTTATTTAGAATTAATTATTTTTTGTCCGTCTTTAAGGAAAACATTTAAACATTAGAGTAATATAACAAAAAATAATTAGTAGGTTTTTTAATGTTAATATATTTTTTTTAATTGTCATGTAATCATCATCGACATTAAAATAACATGAAAGATCATGGTATTGTTTTAAGATTTATAGGATCATTTTTTCCATCGTCGTTTGTCCCGTCAAAGGGAGGGAGTAATTTTTTTACATACAGTGGGTGGTCAATTTATCATGATCAGTCATAAAAAGTTTTTCAAATTTGTTCAAAAATTTTATAATAAAATCATAAGCTGCTATACCATTAAGCTATGCCACAGAATAATAAATAATCAGAATGCCCAGTCTACATGGAAAATTAAGTACGCGCATCTCGTTCGCACATGTTTTAAAGGGAACCAGTTTTGTTTATGTGGTGTGCATTGAAAAATTAATCCAGTTTAATTGACTTACGGCAATCATAGGCATACTATGCAATTATTTTAACATTGTTAAATATAATAACATAAATATATTATAATTAAACATAAATATAAACAATTACATAACCTCACAAATCATATGTCTATAAAGACCCATTACACGAAATGTGATACTCAATCCGAGTCTGTATTCTGTGTTTCCTTCTAAAACATGGCGCGCGTGCTGAAAAACCTTAAAGGCGGCATCTGAGAGTGGGAATTCTGATTTTTTCTGATTGTTTAATATTCTGTGGCTATGCCAATATATTTTGTCACTAATAACCTTACTTTTTTGACGTTTATATCTCTAGAACTGGCATTTGTGTCAAATTACGTGACAACATACACATTGTGGTGAATGGACAGCAGGAGTGTGACGTCACAGCTGTCATATTGTTGTTATTACTTTCCAAACAAAAGTTGAAATGCCAAATCTCAAGAGTTTTTAATTTCTATAAAGTTAACATTTTGCTTCCTCGGCTACTTTTTCTTTTAAGTATAGTGTTTTTTACGATAATACCACCACAATTCAGTGTTCTATTTCTATGAAATATAGTTTAAAAGTATACATTAAAGAAATTCTAACCTTACTTTATTGATGCATTCATTTTATTTCTATTTTTATAAAAAAACATGCTTTATTATTTACACAACCTTGTAAAATTATTGTAGTAACTATTAGAATACTTAAATATTGCAAAAAGCGGAAAGATTCTGTAAAAAAAATTAAAAAATAACGAAAAATACAAATTATCCACACCAAACAATGTTTGTTTGGAAAGTGAAACTGGCAGATGCCAATCAAATCTACGTCATCACTCCGGCGGTTCATTTGCGCTTGGAGTTTACAACTAAATTTGTATGTTTTTGTATTGTTTTTCAAAGATTAGTATCATGTTATCTTTGTAGTATGTTTTATCAATTTATTAGTGGTGATTGTGAGTGAAAAAAAACTATCAGTTTTAATTTTAAAGACATTTTCAATTCGATTTTTGAGAAGAAAATCATATGGGTAAGGCTAAAGACGTCCCTGTGTCGAAAATGGTGGAGATAAAGACAGTTTTATTGAATACAAAGCTTTACCAGCGTCAAATATCTCAACACTGCCAAGCAGCGCAAGCAACAGTGAGCAATATCAAGAAAAAAATTGATACCAACAAACACCTGACTCACCAGCGTGCCCAAAAATGTGGTCGAAAACGTATTACTATACCCAGAGACGAAAGAAAAATGAGGGATATCTTCGTAAACAATAGAAAGAAGCCAAGAAGAATCCTCACGGGACTTATTCGTGAAGCTGGGATGCGCATTCTGACATGACAGTCCGCAGAAGGCTTGCTGAGCAAGGTTTCAAATCATGTCCCTGCCAAAAAACCAAAGTTGACCATCGCAATGTTGAAAAAGAGACTGGAATGGGCCAAAGAACACCAAAATTGGACAAATTAGGATTGGAGTAAGGTTAATTACGTTACTACTAAAGTTTAAATCCCTATAACCACTGTTTTTATCCTAAAAAAAATATCTTAATTTTTTTTTATTCGCGGGTTTGTTTCTCCGATGAGTCTACAGTGGAGATACTCATGGATAAGTCGGCCTTCGTCCGAAGGCGAGTGGGTGAAAAATATCACAAGGATTGCATAGTGGAGCGAGTAAAGCATTCTCTCAAGATCATGGTATGGTCTGTGATCAGCAGTAAGGGCACAGGGAGGCTGTACATTGTGAATGGAATGATGAATCAATATCAGTCTATTGAAATTCTGGAAAGAAAGTTCATGCCACAAATCAAAAACTGGTTTAGCGAATCAAAGGATTTTACCTTTATGCACGATTCAGCACCGTGCCATACGGCAAAAACAGTAACATCGTACCTGGAAAAAAAGAAAATTAAAGTACTGAAGTGGTCAGGTAATTCCCAAAACCTCAATCCGATCGAAAATCTATGGGAGCTTATGAAGAGGGGGATTGCCCAGGAAACTGTCACAAATAAGCAGCAGTTAATTGAGAGACTTATTGCCACCTGGCACAGAAACTATAAAATAAAAGAAATTCAAAGCATGCCAAGCAGGATCAAAGCTAAAGGAGGTCACACAAAATATTTAATAAAATTGTTATTTAAGGTCAAAGAAAAAAATATTTTAAAATTTTGTAAAAGAACGTGTTTATGATCTATTTTTATATTATATTCACATCATTAGACGCTTATATGCAGTTTTATTCTTTATTAAACAGCAAAATACCAAGTTTTTTGAAGTGATCATAATAATTTGATCACCCACTGTAATTGACATTTAGCATATCGTGTCTTGGGATACAGGGGTACTACAAAGCAACTACATATATTGAGATCCAATCCAAAGTTCACCTCTTCGATGAATTATAAATCATTCGGTATAGTGCACTGAGAGTGAATAACGAGACGTATGGCTTGTTAGTATATACCCAGCTCTCCATTACTCCCTTATTACCAAACCTATGGTCTACGAATTATATACCCATGATCCATGATATTGAAATGTAAATAATAAATTTAGTACATTAGGGCTGTGCATGTAATGCTTAGATAATTTTTTAAAAATTAGTGAAAAAAAATGTATAAAAGATCATGAAAATTGTATAGTTTGATTCATGAGTCTTGTGAGTATGAAAAAGAAGCAAATTTAATTTGTTATTTTAAAATTTTCAGTGTAAATGTTCTTCATTGGCTAGATTATTGTTGGCATTACCGTACGTGGTATCTAGGTATACCATAGTACCACAATTGTAGCGAGTGACTAGCGATATTTTCAATGTAGCTGAGGGGAAAGGAAATCGACGAGTCATAGGCGTGCGGTTATTATTAGAAAAATAATCAGGATTTTAAAATGAATTGATTGTTATAGAAATTATTGTCTTCTTTTATAAATGCTTTAGATGAAGAAAATTAACCGTAGTTAAATATCTTTTTTTGAGAAAAACCTTTTATTTTCTTAAATTAACAAACTTATGACTGATTCAAGGATTAACTGTAATTTCTATTGTCAAATGAGATTCAATGACATGGGATTAAAAAAAGCCCTTACACGCCTTAATCTGCGACGACATTGTTGATCTCGGACATTATCTACCGTTAGGGAAAGATATAAACTACAACATTGCAGATAACTTTAAGTTGAATCCTACATGTTGACTGCGTTACATTTTCCCTAGAAAAATCCTTTCCAAAACATCTCTTCTATCTGAAATTATATTCTTTGAACAGTCAGAAGGAGATTTTTGTCAATTTTTAAGAGAATAAACAGATTCTGCAATAATACACAAATTTTTTTGTTCAACAATAATTAAATTTTCTCCTTTTGTCGGTATTCCAACAACAAAAATATTCTTTTCTAAAGGGTAAATGTCCAATTTTACTGGCGTGTGAAAAATACATTAAAACATTATGCACTCGCTATAATTGTGGTATTTTACTGCAGCTTTATGCGGTTTTTGTATCATTTAATTCTTCATTTTGTTGATTATCCTATGTAACATTTTATATAGGAACATTTATATTTTTTTAAATAAAAAACAAAAAAAAACGTAAGCTTTTATTTAATGATGTAATACCCATGATCGTATTGTTCTACAGCTATTTTCTTGTGGCATCTTACTAAAATTTACTATTTTTATTGGGAATAAGCCACAATTTGATCAAATACATGTTCTCAAACTACAAAACAGTAATAAAGCAAACAAATTTTGTTTTTGTTACTTAAAAAAAAACTTCTGGTAATTTAGTTTTATATGATTCATTCATATTGGCGCAATTCAGACTTATATTTTGAGTGGCGTTCATGGGACGACTTTAAATACCCTTGTTTAGGTCGCAATACTAAAAAATTGCTGATTTCAAAGTGGTTGTCGTCACTTACTGTCAATTGTCTAATATTTCATGTCAAAAATAAAATTATAAATAAATTATTAAGGGTAAGTTTTTAGATTTATACGAATTAAATACTACACTTATATAGGGTTAGATAGTCTGCGAATGACATTGCAGACCTACATGTCTCATGCATATTTATTTTCCTTCGAGTATCAAAGTACATATAAAATGTCAGTGAGTAAAAATAAGATTGTTCTTGAATCAGCATGTTTACCACATAATCATAAAGGTAAACGTCTAGTAAGGGAAATGTTGATCAGCAACTGATGGCTAGACTCAGCAACAAGTATGATATATGGGTCTCTCAGAAGTACAATGGCCTAAGTGTAAAATTGATGTTTTGAGATATCGCCAACTAAAGAATTGAGCTAAAAATGAAACCAGTTTGTTTTTATTAACCAACATTATTCTATTCACTTACGCAAACATTCCTGGAACCTTATACAAAAAAAGGTCAATTGGGCCACTATGTCAAATATTAAGTTTGTACGAAAAAATAAAACTTTCACTTGGGTCAACTTATTATCTGTTTCCGATCCAATATCATTGTCTATTGCGGAATGTAAGGAAGAAGACTCTGAAGGTCTTTATATTTTAATTGGTCTATGGGTCTTCCAGCAGGATAAAATATCCAAGTAGAAGTCTTGTCTTTGTATCTGAAAGACGTC